ATTGTGATAATTTTACGCGAAAAGAATTAACGACCGCAAAAGAAAACAAGTCACAATTGGTATCCGATAAGCAGTTTATCGTATGTCACCTCCGTTTTTCTTCTATAAAAATCTCTCTTCGTAAACTTCGAAGAAAAACGGATAGGTATTTTTATCTATAAACCACGATCAGAATATACTACAATGTCCACTCGACATACGATAGTGTCATTTTATAAGCCATATCTTTTTATTGGGATTCAACGAAGATATCTGACGTGAATGTTACTTTTATCCGCGTTTAAAGGATTTACACTAGAATACATGACGTATTACGACTTGCTCCACTTCTTGGGAACGGGATAATTCGATATCCAAGAAATACGATATCAAAGAAATTCTAAAACCGCAGAAATTAATTCTAGCCGAAGAGCGAATATTAATTCAGAATATATAATAACTGGCTGAAATCGGATTGATTATTCTTCAGCTTTGAAAATTACATTCCGTAATTTTTAAAAATAAAAGTTGAAAGAAATTCATTAAACGTACGAGAAAAGTTACAAGCAGATTTATAAAAATTACGGACGAGAACCGCAGGAGGAAGTATTTATAATAAAAGTACGCGGTACAGGCTACTTTACAGCTTCCTTTGTTCGCTCTGGGATTAACGACGTCACATATCCTGTTAAATTTGCGTGGTTCCTCGCGCTTTAATACACGCCAGGAATCAGGTGCGACGGCGGCGGCGACGGCGGCGGGTAGACATGATCGCTTTTGTCCACGGAGAGTTTTCTTCGCTGATATCGGGGAACTATTGGACCGAGCCAGATTAATAGTCCGCTATCCAATACAGAAGGTTCGAAAGATCGGCGGCCGGACGGGCGAAGGGGATGAACCGATTCGGCTCACGTAATGCTCGTTACACGTCGAACGATATTAACGAGCGCCAAGGAGGGCGGAACTTTCGTGCCATCGAAAACGTGAATCGGAAGCGGACGCACCGTCTTGAGAATCGAGACGATCCTTCGCAGCGTCGCGGGGACTTTACAAACACGATGTCTTACGATCGTATCGGGCGTAACAGGCCGATTTCTCGATGAAACTGATCTGGACGTTGTGCTGCACGCCGCATGAATACACATTTTGTTGCTCTATACGAAATATCTTGAAACTGCATTTTTTTTTTCATTTCTGCGTCTCATAAGTTTCAACGATAAGTTTCAAATCAGTTTTTCCTAAACAAAAATTTTACAGAAAATTAAAGTCGTTTGGCGCAAGTTTTTAATTTTTAATATATACATATGTATTTTTTTAAATTAATTCTTAAATTTAAAAAAATTGATCATTTGAAACTAATCGTAAAATAGATTAAAGAATTGTTACAAGATGAAAACCTTGCTTGCTTGAGCTTGAACATTTTGCGTATTGTCAATTAAATCTTAAATTACATTTCTATGCCTGCGAGATACGCCACGGTCAACGGGCTTCCGTTATATCTTGTTACATTTCGTAACTCTTCGTTAGACTTTTTTTGTCATTAGTAGTTTTCCTTGCCGTGGAATTTAAAAGAAAAATACACGCGTATTTCCAGAAGCAGCTCCCGTAGATCCTCGTTTTTCTTTGCCTTTCGCGCATTTCCGCATTCCCATTACGATGGTTCTTTTTATCACAGGCGCATAATACCGCGATCGCGTATAACACCACTCTCCATAACTAAACCCATCTACGGACGCGATGGGTTAGTCGAGCTTTATTTTTATTACAGCTTTGAGTGTAGACGCTTTATTATTGCGCGACTTTGTTCATACATATACATGCATGCGCCGTTGAGCACGCGTCGCGGACGTAACCTCTCGCGACCCAGAATAAATTGAAATATTTTACACGAATCTCTCACACGCCACACATGCGGCTACGTGCCCCTAGTCCGATTCGACGCTTCTCCTTTCGCCTGCATGTCCACGCTTTCTCGCCCCGTATCGTGAGCGGGTGCAGTCTCACTTTAGTCCTTTCTCGGCAAGCGACGATACGATACCTTCACAGTTGAGCGAGCAATTCCCCGTAAACTCGGTTACCTTCGACGATTCAATACGCCACGTGAACGTACGTGGGTGTACGATCGTACTTCACCTATCAGTGTAAATGTCGTCAAATGATTTTCCAATTATCAGATGCTGTCTGATAATCGCACGATGCTCATTGAAAGTTTTTCTACGTCAAACTATGAGATATTAGTTAAATTAGAATACGATATATAATTACGATTTTAAATTAAAAACATAAACTGAAAAGTAAAGTAGCTTTAAGAATTTGGAATTCTGTTAATAATATTAATAATATCTATTACTTTCGGATAAACCAGGTAGATATGTGAAAAGTAATAAATGATGAAATATTTCTCTCTCTCTCTCTCTCTCTTTCTTTTTTGCAATTCATTTGAAAATTGATAACAAATTTCTTTAACATGAAAGATCATTCGGACTTCATTTCTACTTCACGTGTAAAACCAAAGGAATATTCTGGTTTTCATAATTCGGAAAATTTTGTAATATTTAGAATATTAAAAAAGATACACTCGACGTACTCAACCACAAAGCGTACTACATCAAAGCGAGTATGTAGTCGTAAAGGTAATTGCGTTTTACAGCTTGTCCCGTTGCGCGCAACACAAAAGGATCTCGTCTATAGATATTAAAATGTAAGACAAGAAAACGGAGCGAGAGAGAAAGAGAGAGGGAGAGAGAGAGAAAGTTTATGTAGTTATCCATCTTATTTTTTATCTTGCTTCATATAAAGTGTTGACACTAAACACGGGCGAACTTGATGGAAAGAAAAATTGCAATATCATAAGATCAAGAGAATTATACCAGAACAGGATCTTTCGTGCTAAAAAGAATAGTTTATAAATGCAAATAAATGATGCATTTTAAAAATTCTGTACATCGTGTGCTTTTCCTATATTGAATAAGATTGAGCGAGTATCAAAGAATTCAATTTTTACATATTTATGAACGACGTATTCTACTTGCTAAAATTTCTTTGTTATCTCTCAAGTTTATGAATTATGAGAAACTCTTTTTCATATATTATATTTAATGCAGGTTTTGTGTGTGTATGTGTGTGTGTGTGTGTGTGTGTGTGTATGTATTGATTATACAAATTGCTGCATGCGCGAAACCACATTATGTGATAATTTCTTAAATATAGGTACTGTTTTATATTATCGGTAAAGATTAAGCGGATTGAAGCTAAACGATGGATGGAAGCCCCCGTCAAATATGGTTAGTAAACAAAAAATTTATAAAAATCGATAGATATGAATTTTGCAACAACTCGATTTTCCCGTTTCGCGGACACGTAATCGCATCAACCGATCACCGATAGCGCGTGTCCATTAAAACCGGTTGGTTCCTTTTTCAATGAACGTATCGCGACCTATATCCATCGCGTCACGACAGCGTCGGGATGCATCGCCCTCGTGCAATCTCTTTTCGCAAAGATCTCTGAATTCAGCCTCATCTACTCCGTAATATAAAGAGTAGATTGGCGCCGCTAAATCTTTGCGGAAAGCCGTAAAACTTGAGCGCTCCCGCGTACGTTGTTGAGCACAATGGCGGTCTATGATATACGATGCACATTCCCCCGCACACGTATATACGAACCACACCGGGTCCTGATAGTGTACCCGGCTCCATTTTTTGCCAAGTCTATATAAAGCAGGACAAAGGATTGATAAACATATGATGGGACTTTTGCTGGTTTTTATCTCGTGCATGATTTCGATTGTAATAAAGAGAACGAAAAGGAAAAAAAATAGTTCTTTTTTAATATTAATAATCTCAAGAAAGAAAATAAATTTTCAACTTGTATAAAAAGATATTATTATATTATGTAACAGATCATCTCGATTAGATGTATTAGGATATTGTATCTTCAGAAAAAAGTTTTATAATCACACTCTCTTTAAAACTTTCTCTATAAAAAATATAGATATGTGTAACAAGCGAGTGTTAAATTTCTTGATAATATTAAAATTAATAAAAAATATTTTGCAGCAATATAATAATTTTGTATGACGTTGTACACCGTCAGACTGCATCCATGAAGACATTGAATTAATCTCCCGATTCTTTGCGGATTATACGGCAAACGATATTTTTCTTTGACGAACAAATGTTTTTATTGCTGGCGACAAAGCAGCTCGTAAAGCTTGCGCGTTAAACTCCTCGGAAAGACCGTTTCCGTTTATCGAGCGACGAGACAAATATTTTCGAAACGAAGTTTACTCATCGCTCGCGGTTTCGTTTGCGGGAGAACCGATAGTTTTCCCGCCGCTCCGATTTCTATAACCTGCAACGTTAGAGCAAATCTCTCGTTTCCCTTCTCCTCACTACGTATGCTCGAGCGAATCGAAGATTTTTCCATGAAATTGGTATCGTAGATCAGGTCGAAAGCTCCACTTTGTTTGACCCGGAGGCTCTCCAACCTGTTACCCGGCATCCCGGATATATCGACGTTTAAGACATATCTGCAGGAGGTCGTCTTCGAAAAATTTATCGGGTACTCGCGATAGATTTCGAGATTTGTCTCAAAATTCATCGTCCATGACGCATCGCCGCGATGTGGCGGTCTTCAATTCGATTTATTTGCCTGTGTCTGCCACCGAGTTCGAGTTTTATTGAATGATTTATCGAAACAGACGTGAACGTAAATCTAGGTTTAAACTAATCCGTCGTCTGTTAAAATATTTCGCATTCCGGGGATTACATACATTCTTTATCTATGACTACTCGTTTGCTTTCATTCACAATTGTCATCTGACGATTTGTCAATTCTGCTTTTACATATAAACATTTTTCAACGGAGACGCGTAAAATTTGACGGTTAATCTATATAAGTGAAGTGCTCTTTATGAAAAAAAAAGAAAGAGGATGTTATTTCATTCAATAAAGTATTGAAGATTCAATAGAAACAATAACGCTGAATTACAATTGGACATGAGAGGGCATCTTACTCACGTCAACTTTAACACCATTGACGTCATAGACGTGGGGATTTTTATCTCGGAGTACGTATTTGTAGAATACCTCGTGGTCCTTGTACCATGTGATACCATACAGATGGTCTCTCTCCCGATCATATCTGAAACAGCAAATCGAGCAAGACATATTATTAAATGCATTTGCAACTGTTTGCTGAGTTACTATTAAAGACACCTGAGACAATCCTGAAAACAATTCGCAAATATCCCTTATTGCGATATTCTCAATATAATCAAAACGCTTCATTCCGCGCTTTGTGTTATCACATAATGATGTGTATATATATATATATATATATATATATATATATACACGAAATGAAGCGTTTTGATTATATTGAGAATATCGCAATAAGGGATATTTGCGAATTGTTTTCAGAATTGTCTCTATATATATATATACATATATGTGTGTGTGTGTGTGTGTGTGTATGTGTGTGTGTGTGTGTGTAATATAATATAGGACGTATTACTTCTGAATACATGACAAATATATTTATAATATAAATTAATTAAATGAGCATAAATTAAAATATATTTATACATAGCACATTCTCCAATTATTAATATGTTCCAATTATTATTATGTTCACGGAAGAAGCGCGTTTGACAGTTCTAATTTGAAAATTTTATTTATAATATATTGAATACCTTTCGTCAAAATTGAACATTTATATATATTAGAACAGATAATGTAATAGAGTATTGCTTCGAAAAATTTAATGTTTAATGTTCTTCAAGTGATCGTAAATTTGTAATTGCTATGTAATCAAACGATAAGTATATCTGTCTTTTTATTTGGAATTAAAAATTAATTTATTTTTATTATTTTACGCGTATTAACTCCGAAGTTTGAAATTAATACGCAAATAAAAAATATTCCACGTAGACATCAAATAAATCTTTTTACGCGATAAATTTTTCACGATTCAGGAATATGTGTAAAAATTTAAAGCAGCGTTTTAAGGAATAATCTAAGTAGTCAATATTTTCTGCTTTTAAAAGTTAAAGCGTCGAGTGCATCTAAAAAACAGTTAGTCAAGTCTAAGAACCGCTTGTTGATTTGGCAAACTGCTGCAAAAAGTTTGAGTCTTGTCGCAAGATTTACTCTCAAATATCTATATTTTTTTTAATAATTCGATTTTATTGACACTCGTGGAATAGTTTTATACGCGATACAGACGCCGACACTTATTCCTTTATCGCAGATTGGCGGCGGGATTCTGAGAGCTAATTGTATGGGTATCTGCATGGGCCAACCAGTGCGCCTATCCCTGTGCTACTGAAAGGGGTCCCGTGCTATTCACAAGCCGCTTTTATCGTGGACGCAATTTACGTATCCACGGGCTAATCGGTTCTGCGGTTCATTCGGCACAATAGAGACGAGTCGTGGAAACGAGCGAGTACTGACGAGCTGAGAATAAAAGTGAAATGAACGCGCTCGCCCCATTCGTGCGCCAGCTTCAGATCGCATCCTTAATTGGTCCTCGTTCGATTATTTCTGTCGTCGAATCGCGTTATTAATTGAAACGATCCTCTCCCTCTCTCTCTCTCTCTCTCTCGCTTTTAAGAGTAGCACGAACGCTGCTCCTGAACCTCCGGCGTCTCTAACGTGCTGCTTATTGCTTTACGATTAACAGATTCCCGCTGAGCGTTTAGGGCCTGGGACATCTGTGGCCCGCGTTCGATATCTCTTTATTAAATTTTAATAGCTTTCCGAAAGCCAATTTACATAGACGTTACGTATTTACATTTGCGGTGAGCAATGCATTAGCATCTCGGAGTACGCTAATTCCGTGCGCGGTAAACTATTAATCTTATGGTTGCTCCTTATGCCGTATGGTGTGCTTAAATTGACACATGGGAGAGCGTATTGCTCGAGGATGCGCGAGGATTAAACGTTTCGCGCAATTTTGTGACGTCACGTTTTCATGCATTTGCCAAATTTTCGAGAGAACACATAGTTTTTTTGGTGATTATAACGGCAGATTATACCTATATATATATATGTCATATATATATAAATATCAAATATCATATGTATAAAATATTACATTGATGGGAGGAAGAGAGAGAGAGAGAAAGGGAGGGGGGAAGCGGAAGAGAGAAAGAGCCGTTTGAAAAATCACTCGCATCAGAGGCTTTTTACGATCGTCCGAAACAGACGCGTCCTAAAGGCATCGACCATAAACGCGATTTTCCCCGAACTCGCGAAAGCGCAGCTCGGCGTTCGTATGTTATTTTAACGTGATTACGTTCGGTAGGAAGGATCGAAGGGACCGTTCGCGTGACGAGGCTCGACGAATGTGGAGCGAGTACTGTTGCAATAATTGATCGATATCCGTGATCGCGGAGCACACGGTCGCGGTATTCCGTCATTTCGCTAATCGCGGATTACCCTTGTTGTATTCGGAAAACGGCAAATCGAAAATATCAGTTGCCTACGTCGGGATTTTTGTTAAATAACATGTATCGGATGGCACATAATAGATAATTCTCCCCTGCTGTGTAACGTTTCATAATCGTTACACGCTCCTGTATAGTTTGCGCGTTCGTAGTGATCGATAATCCTTCGCTAGAGTACACGTACATGTATTATATACACGCGGATCTTTAGATATATTATAATCAGAAGAAGGCATACCGAGATCATTAAAAGTTACAAGAGGCGAAATGAGATCGTTATCGACCATACGCGATTAACTACGGCGAAAGCAAAAAGCCACCGCGTTTCTCCTTTGCTCGAATAACAAATTAGCCGCGGACTCGAGTAACAAATTCATCTTCATATCTATGCTCATTCGCAATTAAATTCCATCTTTGATATTATGTTCGGAACCGATTGATCCGGTCGGAAGAGGTACCTTATTCGACGACCGCGCATTTGTCGTTTTCGCCATAATCGCCCTTCTAGATAGCCCTCCCTTCCCCACCGTTCCATCTCGTTAAATTGCATTTCAATGGAGTTTCTCAGTCATGCTCCGATAAACCTTTTGAGCGGTTAGTTCGCCGGTTAGGACAAAGGGAATCGCTTCTTCGACCCCGTCATCGCCATGTTCTTACGAGTGACGCGTTTGCAAAAGTAACCGCATGTGCTCTCTCTCTCTCTCTCTCTCTCTCTCTCTCCCCCTTCACTCTTCAGACATCTCACTCGCATCCGATCCGTCCATATTCATCAAACGGACGTCATTAGAAAATTTACGAGATATTCTATTAATATGATCTTGTCTGACAAATGATTTTAATGAAGGAATTAAGTTTCTCTGAAATGAATATTGGAACATACGTTCCAATATTCATGGTACAATTTTTCATGGTACAATTAATTCAAACGATAAAAATTGGGCATGTCAGAAATAGTATTAAATCATAAAAACGGCTTGTAATAAAAGATTTTATTATCTGAATTTTAAATTCTGGACACTATAGCTTACACTAGAAAAGGAATGTTACGTCTCCGACTGTTGTGTTCTCCGACTAACAATAAGAAAACTTAATGTAATTTATTATACTTTGAAACATTTGTAGCTGAAGAAGACTTACAAGTCGAAACGTTCTGCTGTAATTTTATCGAATCAAATTATATGATTATATTGCAACGTTTGCTCGTTTTATTGGTCTTTATATTTTTTAGTTTTCATTTTAAAAGATTTTATCGTCCTAAAATAGAAAAATGGACTATAAAATCAATCTTAAAAAAAAAAGCTGCTGTCTCTTAAAAAGAAAAATTAATTTGACAAAATAACAACTGACGTAATTAAAATAATAATATATCTGAGAATAAAATCGACATTGATGACAAAAAATAAAAAGTTGAAATGTGTAATTGATACATATCTCGTATTTTCCAGAGACGTGTTTTTTCAGGTCAGTACGTATTGTGCTATCGTAAATCAACTTAAACTAGTTTTCCTCAAGCCACTCTTGAAATAATATGGGTTTATTTGCTATGACAATCGTAAAGCCAAATTTCGAGAAATCTGATGAAGGCTGCATAAGAATGGATAAAGCAAGAAAAACTGAGTTTAAACGTCAAAGTCTTGTTCAGAGCTATGAGATTTAAAAGACGGGATTCACAGAAATAAGACGGTCTTTGCGCGAATTTCGTTCTTAAGCCCTTAAGTCCGGGTTAAAAATATCCGTTCTGCCATTCGGAGCAAGCTTGTTCCATTTTTGCGCCTTCCCAGCGCGCAGCGAGCCATTGCAAAAAAAAAGGTGGGGAGGGGAGGGGGGAAGGGGACGAAAAACCAGCGCGAGAAGATACGATGTGTATTAAGGTGCCGCGTAAAAGGGCCGTCTGGCGATTGCCACCGGCCGTCCGGTGTATTGCGTCGTTTCAGAAATGCGGTTGGAGTACGGCAACGGGAGAGCCAACGTGGTTCGCACCGAGGATCCCGCGAGCAAGCGAAGTCGTGTTACTACGGGGGTAGCGTCGGGGAAACGTTATTCCCCGAAGAGGATCGCGCAGGAGGAGGCGGTTCTCCGGGTCGCGTCGGACACGTCGGACGCGATAATGCACGCTCCGCTGCAATGTCGGTCTCATTGCGCCGTTGCACCGTTGCAGTGACGTACCCTGGGGGGGCATTCGCGGGCTGTGTGTGTTGGTGGCGGTAACGCCGCACCACCAGCACGTGCTGCAAAGCCCTGGAAAAGGGATTGCCGCATTCGAGCGTAGGTGCACAATTTCGAGCGCCGCGTCGTGGGATTGATTTGCATTCTCCGGCTCATTTGCTGGGTCGTGTCCTGCGGGAATTCTTTGCTCTTTCACTCTCTCTCTCTCTCTCTCTCTCTCTCTTTCTTCCTCCCTGCACACGCGTATCTGTCTCCGCCTCTTGTTCAGCTCTCCTTCCTTTCTTCATTGTCTATGTGGTATATTCTTCCAATTCTTTGCGCGCGTGTCGATTTCAATGCTCCTTCCTCAACAAATGTAATCTATTTGTATTTTTAGCGAACCATTATTTTACTACTTTTTGTTTTGCATTAAATTTTCTATATCTCTTGCTATTGCCAAAATAGAACGTAGGTTCTTTCTTCGAGATTATCGACATCGTACTTCAATACAAAATTGACCGCAATGAGCGAACTTCATTCAGAGAAGTCA